TGCCAAACCGGTCGAAACTGAGGTCGCGTCGAAGACGCGTGGAGTGAATACGCCTCGTCGAGGTGATTCTTTTACTGATAGTAGCGTTATCTTTCGTAACGTTGCTGAATCCGCGGCAGCTCTTCCAAAGGAGCGCATGCTGGATGACCTCCAGTAGTTCAAGCTCTGCGTCAACAAGATGCTTCCACCTGGTTTCCCAGGTGTCACTATCAGGAAATTAACCAGATTGGGGAACGTCCCTGTTGACACGCCAAATCCGCGACCCCGACTACTTCGTGTAGTCCTCTCAACCCCGGAGGAACGCAAAGCGTTAATGCGCTTTGCATTCAAACTCAAGGGTAGTGATGTCAGCGTTCAGCCGGACCTCCCACTGGCAGATCGACTGAAGTTAAAGGAAGCCATCAAAAGCCTCAAAAGCAGGCGGGCGGCTGGTGAGCAAGGCCTTCGTCTTGTGGGTTTTCAGGTGGTCAGCCGGAAGTCAAATTCTGCCCTACCAGAACCTCTTCTGGTAGCGTACTACCCAGGGCTGGTCGTGCCGAGTTCCTTCGGGTAGTGCTTAGTAATGTGCGTAGCCTAAGGAACAAGGTACACGAGGTGGGTCTACTTGTAGACAAATCTCGTCCTGACATACTTGCTATCACCGAAAGGTGGCTGTCCCCGGATATCACAGACGGTGAAGTATGTTTGCCTGGCTACGCACTGCTTAGATGCGATCGCTCCGTTGGCCGCCAAGGTGGGGGCGTCGCTCTTTATGTGAGTTGTAAACTCGATGTGTTGAGGACTTGTGTGTTCCAGTCGCCGGATCAAACTGTTGAAGCCTTCTCGGCTATTGTGTGCACTTCCTCTGCTCAGTTTACAGTTGTAGTGGTATATCGAAGTCCTGGTAGTATCTCCAGGGAGGTTATTGAATTTATTCGTACTCAGGCTGCCAATAGGTGTCTAATACTGGGTGACTTCAACCTCCCTGAAGTCTGCTGGGCTGATCTATCTTGCAGTTCGGCGGTGGGCACTTTCGGTTCGGATCTCCTTGAGCTAACATTGCAACTGCCTTTGCATCAGTTCGTGGACCTCCTGACTAGATATATGCGCAACCAAATTCCGTCTACCTTGGACCTCATTTTTGCGAAGTCACACGATTTCGTAAGTGATATTACCTACGACTGTCCTCTAGGAGCCAGTGACCATGTCTGCATATCCTTTCGATGTGCTCTAACTAAGTGTCATCAAGCTACCGCTGAGGCATGTCCAAATATTTGACGGGCAGACTTTAACGCAATACGAGCCAAAGCTTCAGTTTTGCGTTGTGCGATCACCGTGGCTGACACCGTTGAGACAGCCTGGGAGAAATTTAAAGCGTACCTCACTGAGATCTCTGCTCCCCACATCCCATTCACTAAGAGAAGGGTGACACGGGCGCAGCCTCCATGGATAGATCATACAGGTACATACCTGCTCAGGAAGCGCTCTAAGTGCTGGCGAACTTACCAAGCGGCTTCATCAACCAGCACCTACGAAAGCTATCGAGCGGTTAGAAATAAATGTAAGCATCATCTTAGAACTCTTCGTCTTCAGTACGAGGAGGATTTGGCTAACGCAGCCGTAAAAAACCCAAAGAAGTTCTTTGCTTACGTAAAGAGACGTAGCGGTACAAACTCGTCTATACCGGCTTTACTACGAGCGGACGGGACCCATGGGCATACCGACTATGATAATGCCTGTATACTTAGCGAACAGTATACTGGTGTCTTTTCTCATGAGGCCTCTCTACCTCAAGTTGAGCTGGTCACTAAAGTTCCGGAGGATTCTTGCCTAACTGAAATAAGCATAACGGAGACACAAGTCTTCAGGCTATTGCAAGGGCTAAATCCTACCAAAGCTTCTGGCCCTGATTCAATTCATCCGAAGCTGATGCATGAATTGGCCGCTGAGCTAAGTGGCCCTCTGACATGCATGTTTACAATATCACTCGACAGCTGTGCCTTACCTTCTGAATGGAAGAAGGCAATCATCTGTCCGATTTTTAAGGGCGGGGACAGAGTTCTGCCCGCGAACTATCGGCCTGTCAGCTTAACAAGCGTAGTAGTTAAGTTGTTTGAAAAATTGGTCAGGGATTCGGTAGAGAATCACCTGATTAAGTTTAACCTTCTCAGTGCGACACAGCACGGATTCCGTAAGGGATTTTCATGTCTGACAAATTTGCTTGTAGCTCGTGAAAGCTGGGCTGAGGCAGTAGACAACGGCCACGCCATCGACGTGCTTTTCGTTGACTTCTCGAAAGCCTTTGATACTGTCCCACATCAGCGACTCTCATTGAAGTTGAGATCGTATGGGATATCTGGAGCCGCCCTTAAATGGGTTTCTGCTTTCCTAGAGGGAAGAGAACAGTGTGTACGCGTGGGGCGTAGCCTTTCGCTTAGACAAGCTGTTCTTAGTGGCGTTCCGCAGGGCTCGGTTCTAGGGCCGTTGCTTTTCGCAATTTATGTCAATGACCTACCCCATGAGCTTGGAGTAACGTCGCTATTGTTTGCTGATGACCTCAAGCTCTGGAATATTGTGGATATCCCTAGTGGCTCTGAGGCACTTCCGAGTGCTTTGGATAGGCTCTGGGATTGGTCAACCTTATGGTTGATGCCCATAAATCAGGCGAAATGTTCTGTCCTCCGCATTGGAGGTGTTAGTCCCCCCACGCGCTATGTAGTTGGTGAAAGTGAACTCCCTGTTGTCATTCAGCAGGTTGATCTAGGTATCACCCATACCTCATTGCTTCACTCTGGGGAAAATTGGAGGAAGGCTGCTTGTAGAGGGTTCCGTATGATGTGGTTTATTCGCCGCTCCTTCGGTGTCCTAACGGCCAATATCTTTGTGAAGCTGTTCTCAGCTTTCGTGCGACCTCACTTAGAGTACTGTATCCAGGCTTGTCCACCTTGTCTTGTAAGGGACAAAATGGAACTGGAGAGGGTTTTGCGAGTGGGTACAAGGTTAGTGCAAGGATTACGGGGGCAAACGTATCCCGAACGTTTGCTTAGCTTGGGTATGTACTCAATGCACTACCGCAGAATTAGAGGAGACTTGATTCTCACTTACCGTATCTTAACGGGTAAGATCGGTCCAGATTTGTCCTGGCTATTTAGTCCCGCCAAGCTGCCTAGTCTCCGAGGTCACCCGTTGAAGCTGCACAAACAGCGTTCTGACCGGGTAAGGACGGAAACTCGCTTGTCGCGTCGAGTTATTGAACGTTGGAACTCGCTTCCGGCGCACGTGGTTAGGGAGTCTACGGTAGAGGGTTTCGAGCGTCAGTTAGATGCTCTAGGGTGGCAGTACCAAACCTTCCCCTTCTCCTAACCGACTTGTATCTTCAACTTTCTCTTCGTTCTTTTTTAATTTTCTTCTCACCTTGGTATTATCATTATTTAGCTGACATTCCTCCTCTTCTTTTCTTAGCTTACCCTTCACTCTTTTACTTCACATAAACCGGCCCGGCAGGGACTGCTGAGCAGGAAAATGTGGGCAGTAATTGGTTGGACAGGGTGTGATGCGGTCTTTGTTTTAGGCTTTTCAACATCTCAAGCAGACCTGTCAATTCCCGATCCAACGATACGCAAAAGAAGGAACATTCACGGGATTATCCTATTGTTCCGGTCCCAACTGAACTTGAACTTGAAACCTGACAGATAGGAGGGGCGATGTACTGCGCCACAATCCTAAGAAACAGGGGGTGCAAGCCATCCGGGCCGGGTGAAGAATGTGGATCTAAATCAAGAAGAAGTTTAACCACAGAACTGATGTTAATGTCTACTTGATCCAACTGATAAGGAAAACTGGACGCAGTGTTGTCGCGGGCGGGAGTTTCTTTCGCGAAGACAGAGGCGTACTGCTGGGCCAAAAGACTGCCTTTATCAGCGTCTTCGTAAAGTAAATTTCGATGTTCAAAGGAACACAAGGTGGGGATTCCACTGCCAGCCCTGGTACTTCTTTTTAGATAAGAGAAAAGCATTTTGGGTGTCGTTCTGGAATGTACTGCTAATGATAGTTCATATTGCTGACGTTTCTGTCGCTTCAACGTGACACAAGCATTTCTGATAGTCTTGTAGGAAGAGCAATCGAACTCTGTTTGAGATTGCCTGTCCTATTTGGTGTATAGCAACATTGTATCATCTTTTGCAGGTTAAACTGCAAGTATACTCGAGTAATTACTCGTGTATGTTGAGTTAATCGTTTAATTGTTGATATGCCTCATCACCGTTTTCTAACACTATGTTGTCTGCTGGTCTTGAGAACTGGAAACAGCCAGGCCAGTGGTGGAGTATATCCGGTGTTTGACTTATAATCCATGGCCCATTGGTCTGAAGCCGGCCCGTAGTGTTAAGGATTGTAAGTCTGCCTCATAATTCGATAGCCCGGGTTCGAGCCTGCATAGGGATCAAGTGGTCATCACAGTATCCTTAGCCCAAGCGCGACTGGTGGCTGCGCGGCAGCGAAGCGTCGGTACTGCGTACCGGCGTACTGTTGATGTCATTGATTCGAACCTGCGTACTTATATTGGACGTCGCAGCGTTTCGACCCAAATACCACTCGGGGTCGGCGCGTAGCAGTGCAATATCTATTCGGGATTCCGACACATTGTTGATTTTCCTCTTTTTGACCTAGTATTAAGAAATCGAACGAGGGATTTTGTTGCGTTAGTACGAGCCTTTTGCGATGTTAGCGGCACTCCTGCATATGACAGCGTCTGTTTCTGATCCATTCATCTAACACAATCTTTTTTTCTACATTTCCTCAACAGATTTGTTAATGCACTCGTACATCTTTCTACCGCTTAATGTTTTCTCTATGTTCCATTATTAGCATGAATTATAGAACATGAATCCACAGTACTTTTGTTGCACGTATCATAACTTGCCAACTCTAACTGAACGGCTACATGCTACACTGTATGTGAATTGACAATAGTGTTCGTGTTTTGTTCAAACTAAGTGAACACCTACATCCTATTCTTTCGTTGCAGATTTACTGCATTGCTATTCAGTCCATGCCAGATGCTTCGTTGTCATGAGTCCAACAGATAAAAGTGAGTCAACAAAACTGGTTGTTTACATGAGTAACCGCTCAAAAAGATCACAAGAATCATAAAAAGCCTACGAGAGGACCGCAAAAATCATTGGAAAATGAGATCTCAGAGTAAATGCTTCCTGTTTTGTGATTGTCGCACAGGATGTTTGTATTCGTGGAAGCAGAAGCAGTCGATGATTCTGTGGTTACTCCGGAACCAGAGGATGTCAGGATACTGGAGTCGGTGCACAATAAAATAGCAACTAGGCGCATCCGGCGAAAGCTCCTGGCTCAAGCGCCATTCATCGTAGAGTGAGTGAAACCCGGCATTTATTCCGTCATCCGATGTGAGTGCTTTTTTCTGAATTTCATCTAGGTTATCAAAACTAACGGTTTGTTAACTATCCTAATTCCAGGGTTGCGACTAGTCTTAGTTTATTCGGTTAAGTGTTAAAATGAACACAACCCACACATTATTGCTGCCACACCACCGGGAATTTAGTGGCCCTCTTTCATCCATTTATCTGATTCTCTCATTTCTCTCTCTACCAACTCTTGTCTTTCTCGACTCGACCTTGGTCGTCTCTCTCGTCCCCCCATCCTGTTCGGCATTATTTTTGACAATGTTAGCAACGAGACTGGACCTTAGCATGGTGGGTTGGTTTGCGTACCCCCGTGACCCATTGAGCTATGCTGGGTGGCATTTTCTAAGTGCCTTCAGAGCCACTTATACCAGACAAGTCAATGGTTAGTTGTCAGCCTAATAGTCTCACAATCTAACTCTCTTCGGAGGTCAGGGAGAGTTCGATGGCCATCCTCCTTTAGAACCTAGCCATGAGAGACAACAGGTTTACGGGTTATCAGCTCATAGCTCGATTGGCCTAGAGTACCAGCGCCATGCATTGTCTCTGACGGTGGTAGGGAACCTTTCGGTGCTTAATGGTTTGCTACCGCCCGCCTCAAGCCAGACAGCCCCTGGTCAAATTGGTGCAAACCCGCCAACTCCCACCTGCGACTGGCCGTGGTCACAGGTGCGTAAAGTAATACGGTCGTAACACGTGAATTGTACCAAATCTTCAGAGGCTGTGTGAGACAGGCCTCAAGCAGATCCCATTGGGTCTCTGCATTCACACTTCCCAGCTGGACTTGCTCCCCAGTGTCTTGTGGATCGATCGACTGAATCGGAGGCACTCTTGAAATCGAGGAACACAGCTATTGTCGGTTCAAGGTATGCGTGGCGCTGCTCTAGCATCTGCCGCAAAGCGAATATATGGTCTATACAGCCACGTCCTGGGCAGAAACCGGCCTGCTCTTCCCTAGTCCGAGATTCCCGTTTCACAGTGTGGCGACGAACGAGAATCGAGGCCAATACTTTTGCCACAACTGACGTTAAGCTAACACTCCTGTGGTTAGCATAGTCTGTGCGACGACCTTACTTGTATATTGCCACTATAATCGATTCGCTCCAATTAGCCTTCCTTCCAGATACGTTCGAATAAGGTCAGTGCTTTGCAGAGGATCTCACCTCCATTTTCAGATACTACAGGTAGGAGGAAATCCGGGCCATCCGTACCTAAAGGATTGAGGGCTGTGATCGCGTTTCGGACCTCGGCCTCTGACGGAGGCTCTAAACTAACGGCCCATGGCTCGTCCTGCATCACCTGAGTAGGAAGAGGTGCGGGAGCAGGGGGCCAGCTGAACTGATGTTCAAAGTGCTCAGCCCAACGAGCCATACGGCGCTCATTATTGTGTATCAGCGCACCCGCGCTGTCCCTGATTGTCTCACTGACGCCTGGTTTTCTCGGACCAGTGGTGCGGATTAGCTGGAAGAGCTTCCGGTAATTGCCTACTGCTCCTGCCTCCTCCATTTCCTGAGCCCTACTGGTCCACCAGGCTTCATTGCCAGCACGCAGGCTCCGCTGTAGTTCGCGGCTTATAGCCCGTCTGGCCACATTGTGCTCAGAGCCAGCCGAGAGGTTTCTTCTAGATTCAGAGCGGTTCACCGACCTCTCGCATATTCAGTGACTGGTGCGGTGACGATTGATAGTGCCACAAGCAGATGCTCCTTCATCGTGCATGCGGCCGAGATCCTATTCCACTGAAGCTCAGTGTCATTAGGATAAGACAGCGAAAGTTCGGCACAGAGTGCGTCTTACTACGCTTACCTGACCGAGGACTGAGATAGTTTCTCAGTTGCCAATCGGAGGAGACGTTTGGTGCGCCTCCCGGTAATGTTCATAGAGAAACGACAGCGTACCAAGACATGATTAGAGTTGACACAAATACTCCAGTACGAGCGACAATCCAGGATGGAACCACGCCATCTGTAACTTATGACTATGTGGTCAATTTGGGTCCATCGTTGGCCAGCTACAGGAGAACGCTAAGTGGCACTTCGGCGCCCACTGTGTCTAAAAACAATGCTACTTAGAAACAACTGGTGCTCCGCACACAGCTGCAGCAGACGCTCACCGTTGTCAGTCCGTTCGGAGTTAAGCCCACATTTACCACCTAGCTGAGCTTCTGAAGATCTCAGACGCCCTACTTGTGCGTTCATATCCCCTGCAATTACTATAATATCTGAACTAGTAGCACTGAATAATAGCGCGTTCGGTTCGTGATAGACTATCTTGGACAGCATTTGAACTGCAGTCGGTGGGAGCATAAGTGGAAATCACAAATAGCGTCTTGTACTACTTTGGGAATCAACTCTGATCGATGTCATCAAACGGGCTGCACATAAACGGCTGTTCACCGGAATCTAATTAACTAACGATGGCTCAGCCTTGGGGCTGAAAATGGTAACTACCCCGGCTTGACTGGTGAGTGTTGCATCAGCGTCTCCGGATGCGTGCGACCGATAGCGAGAGAACAAGCCGGGCGCAGTTAATTCAACTAGCCCATTAGGGTCTTTGTTCCTAGTTTCGGACACACAACATACGTCAACATCCAGTGTGTCCAACGTACGTGCGAGTGCGGCCTGTTGACCTATTTGTCTTAGAGCGCGAACGTTGAACGCTGCCAAGGAAACGGGACAGGGTGGTTTTATAAGGGACTGTTGCCGATTGGCATCCGATGGGTATTGTGGAAAGGTGGCCGCAGATGGTTCTACTCCAGTGGCACTTCTGTTTCTCTAAATTAAGCTGGGAATTACAGAAGAAACGTTAGTAATGGGGGTCCGGATGGAAGTAAGAAAAACAGGTAGAAAAGAAAGGAATCGCCAGCAGTAGCATGTTTTCGCTTATCCGCTCTGCTGTGTACAGCAGATAAGGCGACCCTTGATTATCTGCGGGACGGCCGATACAGGATGTAGTTAGAGTTTGGGGAAATTTTCAGGGTTGTATTTAGGCTAAAATACTGCCAGGACGCTCAGACCTAGACAGCAGGACGATTAGGGTCCTCAACCAAAGGCCTTGGCTCAAAAGCCTGTCCACAAGGCAGTGGGGAGGTGACAATGATTTAGTTTCACAGAAATGGACGCAATCACATTTTAAATTCCCAACCTGGAGGACCAGGAGACTGAGTTTGTCTGACCTCTCACCATTGACCAATCTGGTAGGGGTAACTCTCAAGCTTCCCGGAGGCACCACCCAGTATAGCTCAATGGGTCAAGGAAGTACACAAACCGTCGCACCATGTTAAGGTCCAGTCTCATTGCGACGCAAAGGCTAGAGATTGGGCACCTCAAACAAAACGCTTCTCGAAATGGGCAGCCGGAGAATATCATCTAGCCTCTCGACTACGTCGACAATTTCCCTCTTCCTCTTATTTTTCCTCTCCCAACTCTCTTCTGCCGCTGACCTCGCTGCCTCTGCTATCGATACTCGTATTTCGTCCATCAAACCACTAGTCTCATCACATTTGTTCTTCTAACGTCCACACTCTACGTCAGATCGGTCAACAGGAATCAAACTTTTCACTCTTGGTATTGATTTGTGCTGTATCCCCGAAACACGCATAAAAGATAACAGCATTGTGACGAATCTTCGACTCCCTGGTTCTGAATCTGACCACAAGGACTACACTCTTCGCGTCTCTGGTGATACTGAATCAATGACAAGGTATTTACAGTGTTGTTATCGCCCTCAGCAGACATGCTGAAGTTAATCTACTAGGTTGGATACCGGTGAACAGCCGCATGTGTGCGGTTCGTCTTCGTACTCCTGTTGGGGATACTAAGCACCCTATGAAGACAAGATACCTTTTCATTGCCTCAGTTTATGAAAAAAGCGTTTTGTGGAGCAGTTATGCAGGCCTGCTGCGTCACTGCCGCTTGCCAATTCACCTGAGCCGACGTGAAAAGTAGATCTCACAGCTCCCATTTTGGAAGAGATTCAACATGATCTCGCCGTGTTAAGACGAAACAAGGCTCCGGGACCCGACGACCTTCCCCCATCTTTGCTGAAAGTTAGCGGCAACTTTTGTTGACTGGACTTTATAACACTGGAGAAGTGTCTTCAGATTGGTGGCTATCAAGATGGGTCAGCGTACTTTGCGCGAAAATTATCGAGGCATTAGCCTTATTTTTATTGTCTCGAAACTTCTCAGGGGTATCATTTTTCGACCCATACTGGTACCCGTGAGGACCGAATCACTGAAAGCTAGGCTGGTTTCCGCCCTGGCCGTGGTTCCAGCGACCACATATTTACGCTTCGTTGTTTTGGAGCCGAGACACATACAGACGACCGACTATGGTTTTCCTTGTTTTGAAAGCCGCTTTCGACTCTGTTGACCGCGCCAGATTGTGACATTGCCTATCTATGAAGGACGTGCTAGCTAAAGGTCTTCCCTTTCTTAAGCCACTCTACCGTAATTCCCGAGGCCTGTAAGAGTCTGCGGGAAACTGTCTCCTGAGTCCCCCACGACAAGTGGGGGTCGCCAGCGTTGTTTTAGTCGCATTTCCTCCTCAACTTCTTGATTGAAATGGACATGAATAAATCGGTTCTTTCAGACTATTCTGGAGTTGAGGTCATGTCAGGCGACTGACTGACAGGTTTGAAATATGCGGAGGACATAGTTCACCTTGGGTCTGATGCTTTGGCTATGTAAACACTACTGAGCAGACTCGTGTTTAGCCGTGCACCCTTCTACATGTGTTTTGCGCCTTCAAAGTGGAAAGTGCTATTGCGAGATTGGGCCGACACACCTCTATTATTAACTACTTCTGAACTGCCACTGGAAGTGATTGATCGGTTCACTTATCTTGGTAGCTGTGTCACCTCTGCAGATCAGATCATTGAGGAAGTTACTTCGCGTATCAGCAAGGCCCGTGTGACTTTCCAGAGGCTCGACCTTCTGTGGCGACGACAGAA